TACAGTGCTGAGTGCCAACTTGATATGTGCGTTTTCTATTCCGGGATTAATGATAGTGAACAACTTGTCGCTATCATAGTCTCGAAAGGTTACTTTTATCACATTACATGTTCATAGCAATGTTTACATTGTTTATGCGATATAGTTTCAGATCGATTCTTATTAATCTCGGAAAATAACACACATTTGCATCACATCAAATTGACACACACTGTATAACTTCGCGAATTTTCAATTCAACAGCACTAAACTCTCTGTGAAAATTTCGGTAATTCTATTCATTCTTTCCATTTATTCGCACTCTGTTCATTTTCCCCATTTTTCATTTTTTTCGATTTTTTTTATTTTTTTTTTATTTTTTTGATTTTTTTCTTGATTTTTTTCTTGATTTTTTCGTTTTTTCGTTCTTTCGTTTTTTTTCTCAACTGTATCTTCGCGAATCCTCCCATTTCATTACCGAGAATATAAGAGAACCGCATACACCATCACAGTCAATGGCAGACAATATCAATACGGTCGCACCAGAGGGCTGTCGGCGTGCTCGTAGTTTCAAATCCGTTATCACTTGAAACTGAAGAGAATTGCTCAGGGTGTGGTATAGGAATTATAAACACACTGATAAATACGAATTGATTTTTGAAGACATGAAAATTTGGTAGAAAATTACATGAATTCTATGTTTTACGGAAAGCCTACTTTGGAGTTTCATCCTAGTGATATGAAAAACACTAATGAAAAATATATTTCACGACTACTGCATATCACCGCGAATATTCCCCGAGTATTACGTCACTTCACGTAAAACGGGTTGTGAAACTCCAATATATATGAAAATTATTTCTTTTTAAATTCACATGAAAATTACGAAGAAAGTTAACATGAGTGATTCGCTCACATATGAGCATAAAAACTAAAATTTTCAAATAATAAAAACTCCCAAAGTGCATCAGTGTATTACCGCATAGTTGTCGTTGCCTGTTTCCGGATTGATATTGAATCGGACCATCACAACTGATAAAAATATATACTGAAGTTGTCCACATCTTTCTGCGTCTTCGATTGTAAAAAGCGCTCGCCATTATAATCGATTTTCTTCTGCTGAATTGCCTTACAGTCTTCGGCTATTCAAACGTCCACTGAAATGGAGTTTTAATATTGGTTAAATTTTACCGAGTAATCACCTCAAATAGAGGTGGATTTTGGGGTGCTGGTCGATCGAGCTGTGGGGTTATCGTCAGCGTTTTTGGGAGTTTCACAACTCGTTTTACGCGAAGTGGTGAAAAACGCGATATTCGCGGTGATATGCAGTAGTCGTGGAACATGTTTTTCACTAGTGTTTTTCATATTACTAGGGTGAAACTCCAATATTATATTTATACTACCGCTGTTGGGTTCATGTAGTTTATTAGTATTTTAGTTTCTCCATTTTGTATAGATGAGTCGGGCGAAGCGGAGCGTTGACTGTTAAGTAATTGTGATTGATTTCGTTTAAGTGTGTGTTACGTGAAAGTCTTATATAATGGAGTTTCACAACCCGTTATACGTGAAGTGGCGTAAAACTCTGTGAAATTGTGGTCGTGAAATATGTTTTTCACTAGTGTTTTTCATATCACTAGGGTGGAGCTCGAATATTGGCTCTTAAAATTGTCAGAATAATTGAATTATTTCCCCTCATCACAATGTCCGACAGCCCTGCTGAAAATCATAACGGTGAGCAACAGGAACAACACGAGAACAAGGAGCAAGGAGAGCAGCCTCAGAGTCTGCAGTTGAAGGTAATCGGGGGGAGAGGATCTCATTTCGAATTTTCAAATTTTTCTCCATTGTTATCAAACTCTGGAGAATGTTATTTCTCAAAACTAGTTAGTATATTTAATTTATCGAAGTTTCACATGCTGTTTTACGTGGAGTGGCGTAAAACTCCGTGAAAAACGCGATATTCGCGGTGATATGCAGTAGTCGTGAAATGTGTTTTCCATATCACTAGGGTGAATCTCTATTGCAGGTTAAGAATGCCGAAGGGAAAGAAGTGATGTTCAAGTTAAAACGTGGAACTCCTTTACGCAAGGTAATATGAATTCTGCATCCGGCTCAGTGTTGGAGGACTATGTCTTTGCTTTCCTCAACTGAGCTCAGTGATTGTAGAAGTTCATATATGAATTAGTCCCTCAAAATTTTCGTTTTTGTCACCGACACATGTGCATATTTTTCCCCCCACTGATCCGATTGGTCAGTTGATGGACGCCTACTGTACAAGGGAAGGACTCCCTTCTGACGGTGTGAGGTTCCTCTATGATGGTGAGAGAATTAACCGTGATAACACTCCTCAGGAGTTGGATATGCAGGATCAGGATGAGATTGATGTACGGTATTGCACTTTATATCCGAATGACACTGCTCGTCCTCAGGCTCTTGTGGAGCAGACAGGCGGTTGCAGTCTCTTGTAAGTGATTGAGTTGCCGTCCAAATCGAAGCGGCATTCTGACTTGATAACATATGTTGTGTTAATGAGGTTCGGGACAGAGTAAATTGTACTTGCAACTGTAGCAAGTAGCTGCTCTAAACTCGGCTCGCTTCGGTGTGTCGAGTATGAGTACATGAGAGGATAACGTCGATAGTTTGGGGAGAGATGGCTACGGGATAAATAGAATGTGAGACGAATGTCGCCCCCCCCACATATGTAGGGGTAGCGGTGTGCATCTAGTTATCATTAGTCTAGGACAATTCTTTATCCCAAGTTAAATTCCGGAAACGAGACACACGTCGCTGCCACAAAGGGACAGTCGATACACAGCGCACGCGTGCAAGATTGCACCACGTATGCACGCATTAAGAATAGCTTGAAGGTCAGAGTGCCGCGTAGATAGTGCTGTCATTTCGATCAACCCATCCCTCCCACACCGAGCACAAGAGCCGAATTGCTTGAAGACCCCACTTTTCCCATCTTCGATGTCGACGCGACATCCAAGTGGCATTGCGGATACCAAGCACCATTAATCTTGCGAGTGCGGCCTTCAAGCCCGACTCTTCATGGACAAGCCTAGCTTGTCTCCAGACCCACGTGTTTTGAGTGTGGTAACTTAATTGACTGTGATGATTTCAGACCCTGAAATTCAGGGTAAGTATGGATTCAATGGGGCGGCTAATGTACGACGGACATAACCAACAATGAATTTACATTATTGGCACCGCTAGTCTAATGGTTAGGATATCTGCCTTCCAAGCAGATGGTCCGGGTTCGATTCCCGGGCGGTGCAGTTCGTTAAGATGTGAACCTCGGTCTGGCATCTATTAACGTCATAAGGTCGCGAATGTACGACGGATATAATCAACAATGAACTTGGACTATCAGCACCGCTAGTCTAATGGTTAGGATATCTGCCTTCCAAGCAGATGGTCCGGGTTCGATTCCCGGGCGGTGCAGTTTGTTAATGTGCAAGTGTTGTTTTTGGATTGTAGTGAATTATAGCAAATCACTCAACAATAGATGCGTCAGTACTAGGTGGCCTAACTGGGGCAACCGAGACTGGAAGTTGCGAAACGTGCAGGATGTATCAACAGTGACATAGCATGTGCAGACTTTTGCGATTGTTTGCGTGATTCATTTGCGTGGATTATCCAACCTTGTCGAAAGAGAGATCGCCAAGGTTGGTTGGAAGTATACTGAGTTGCGGAGAACAGAACTGCTTGTCGAATTTGCACGCCTGCGCACGGTCATTTTAGCACGCGCCTCAATAAGTCGATCCCGAGTTCGATTTAGCTTGCCAACCTCGTAGTGTATACTTGTTAATAACAATGATGAACGTATCCATATATCAAGTTGTTATATGGATACATTCATCATGCTAAGAGGTCATGAATATTCGCAGTATTATCCGAGAGATCAAATTTTCATGCATTTGCGTAAGGAAAACGCACACACAGCACAACACAAATGACGTAAACAATCCTGAAACATTCGATAACGTCAACTTATGAACCTCCACCAATGACCAGCTTCCCTGTATGCCAAGGCAGCATCTCGGCTGCAACAGCCAATGGGTTTACAAACAGTGCCTGATGAAAACCAATCACCCCCTCGCTCGGAATGGATCAATGAATACAGTAAAATATGATAACTAACCACCTAACAAAAACATCAAAACACGGAAGTTTGAACTCCACACGCAGATAGAAACGGCCGTCAAAATCGACACCAGAGCCACATTCGCCTTACTTTCTGCTCATCATCTGTTAAGTTCTTCGGCAGAGCTGTTAAAGCCACTTCCTGTCTCGCCAGAGTCGGAGCAGTCGACAACAGCGAGCTGTCCTCCAAATTCTGGAACTTATCCTGATGCAGGAATCAATTCTCAAGGAACGCATTTTTAACCTGTTACATGTGCAAAGCTGAGGAAAGGATCTTTTCCATCCACCAAGACGAGAGCTCTGAAAAAATTCAAACCTAGTTAATCATCCCGAAAAGTTCTCACGCTTACTTCCGTTTTCGAGTGCTGGCCATAGCATGCTCCACAACTTCCATGAAAGCTGCTTTTGCTCGGGGATTGCTAGGATCCGATACAAACGGCATCGTGAGAATAAGCTGACCAGACGGCAATACCCCTCCAATTCGTAAACCTGCCAATAACGATCTCTAACACGAACGACAACCCCAGCTGGAGCCAGCGGCTACAAACGTATTCGCTACACTTACGACTGTTGTCCATTTCAACCCTGAGGCCTCACCTGTCGCGATTTCCCCGTCGTCCAGGGATAAATCCTTAGCCCATCTGCATTCATCAGCACCAGCTCCCGCTGCTACTCGGAAATCCAGACCGTCAACAGTGACATACCTAAAACCACGACAGTTTATCATCAGACTAATATATGCCCTGCTGGTGCTGAAATATATCCTCGCTTTCCTCAGCCGAGTTCGCCATTTTCCTCACTAATTATAGGAAGTTACATACAAATTCGAATAGAAATGTACCGAAACCAATGAGAATTTCCTCACAGTTTCCACAAATGTCATCACCTACACATGAAGTTGACCATGTGCAACAACTCCACCGCATAAGTACGAGAATATTCAACATCGCGTCTAAATGACGCAATACCGGGAGGAGTTTCTGCTGCTATTCGCGACTCCGACGTCCTCAACGCGTGGTGACAACGATGGTGACCATTTCCGAACACTCAACGAGTAGACGTCCGAGATGAGCCTGATTATTTGCCAACTATATGCAATATACGGTAGCCTTGCCAACCTCGAATCGCCAATTTCCAACGATGGAGGGAATCCCATAGTGTCGTGATGCACCACCAGAAGAACACCTACCAATCATCCATAAACCTATAATATTCCCGGAGAGAATTCATTTTGAATTTTAATCAGTTTTCCATGTAAATGTCATCACATTATAAACATGAGAAACATTATTTCTCAAAGTTGAATAGGTCCATGGCCCGGGGATGCCAGGGCTGAGATATATGATCGCTTTCCTCAACTGAGCTCAGAAATTTCCTCACTTAACAACAGTGTGGGGGGAAAATATGCACATGGTGAACCACATGTGTTGGTGACAATATAAAAATTCCGAGGAAATTTTGGGAAATTCCTATTAGTTTCTGTACACTCCTCTCCAATTTGTATTAGTAAGAAAATTCTTCAACTCAGCTGAGGAGAGCGAACATATATTCCAACACTGTAAACATGTTTATATGCGAATTCGGGTAGAAGTATCCCAAAATAAACAAAAATTTTCCTCATACTGTCACCAACACATGTGGTCGATTATATACATACTAGGCCTTCTCGGAGAAGGGACGGAGCTCGGCATCCGGGTTTGATTCCCATGCCTGGCGTTTTTCTGCAAAAATATGTTTTTTTGCACGGAAATCTACATGGTCCGGGCGGAACCCTAATTTCGTATTTTTCCTAGTATCCCCAAAGCGAGAGTTATCGAATGGTGTATAGCATGTGATCATATCCTCTCTAGATCGAGCTGGATAATTTGTACGCACGCACGCACGCACAAAGTGTTAGTAAAGTGAGAGAATACGCTCCGCTCGCTTCGCTCGCTCCGCAATTTTCCAACACTCTCGAACGACAATATTTCCCACCTTTCTCCTGCTTCTGGAGCCATCGTACTCCCAGGAGCTCCCCGAGCCAACGTGCCTACATCAGTGCGGAAAAATATACACATGCTCAACTACATGTTTCGAAAATTCACGTTAGTTTCTGTGCAATGTAAACTCCTACAACACTCCTGAGCTCAGCTGAGGAAAGCGAACATATATTCCAAAACTGCCCTGCAAGTAAATTTGAATTTTTAACACTATTAGAAAGTTTCTATGAAGAGCAACTATTTCTTCAAAATTTCGGTAATTCGGCAAAACCAGTCGGTAAAAATTTAGGAAAAAAGATGGTAAATTAATGAAAATTCGGGAAAAAATACTGAAAATGCTATCAGGAATGAGCCTACCTGTGGCGCGTGAAACTCTCGATTAAACGGATCGTTACTGCGGTAGAAGAGTACCGTAAAACACGGAATAGTCGACGCCGCGATTTCGGAGGAATCTGCGGGATGATTCTCATCTTCCATGTGTGGAGGGAATCAATATGCACATGTGTTGGTGACAATATGAAAATTCTGAGAGGAAATTTCTCATCGATTCACTCACACTTCTACCCGAATTTCTATAACTCTTCTGAGCTCAGCAGCTGAGGAAAGCGAACATATATTCCTACTCCACTGCTTACCTTGGGGAAGCGGCAGAGTTATGGTAGTCTGAAGAGTTGCAATGATCGCCTTGTCCTCCCCACCTGAAAATAAGCATCAATTTGATATGATGCAAATGTGTGTTATTTTCCGAGATTAATAAGAATCGATCTGAAACTATATCGCATAAACAATATAAACATTGCTATGAACATGTGATGTGATAAAAGTAACCTTTCGAGACTATGATAGCGACAAGTTGTTCACTATCATTAATCCCGGAATAGAAAACACACATATCAAATTGGCACTCAACACTACATGCATCGGTGAGCCACCCTTACTTTCAAACGAACCGAATATGTTATTAATTTTTCTGATTTTTTATCAAAGCCATGGGGAAAATATTAACTCGAAAGGTAAAACATCAACAAGATGGGTAAAAAATTAATTTTTTCGGAAAAAAATTTAATTTGATCTGAAAATGCTAGAGGAAAATTTCAAAATAAAAATAAAAAAATATTAGAATTTCAAACGTTTACCAAAACTCTACTTACCAGCATCGTCCTTATCCTTGGGCATTTTGATCTGTAGTAAGTTCAATGTATGTCCATAACTAACACGAGGTCATTTTCGATGGGTTCGCAGCTGCACTTCTACGCGTTATGAAGGCAATCCGAGCATCCTATCCAGTCCTTGATACCGACCAAATGCTTACTCGTTATGGCATCATTTAAGTATCTATAACAATTACCACGTCGCTCCGCTAGAATATCACATCATATTTCGAATTCTCGATGAGAAACGCCCAGTGTTGGAGTAGGAATATATGTTTGCTTTCCTCAGCTACTGAGCTCAGGAGTGAACACAGTGTTGGAGTAGGAATATATGTCTGCTTTCCACAGCTACTGAGCTCAGGAGTGAACACAGTGTTGGAGTAGGAATATATGTTTGCTTTCCTCAGCTACTGAGCTCAGGAGTGAACACAGTGTTGGAGTAGGAATATATGTTTGCTTTCCTCAGCTACTGAGCTCAGGAGTGAACACAGTGTTGGAGTAGGAATATATGTTTGCTTTCCTCAGCTACTGAGCTCAGGAGTGAACACAGTGTTGGAGTAGGAATATATGTTTGCTTTCCTCAGCTACTGAGCTCAGGAGTGAACACAGTGTTGGAGTAGGAATATATGTTTGCTTTCCTCAACACATACATATAGTCGCCCATATGCATATTCCCCCCCACACACTGGAAACACCCAAGCGTCAATCGTTCAGCGTATTCATACACAGTCCACAGAGCTTATGCTATCCGGTACGAATTACCCAACGATTTAACCCACAACCCCTATAATCGTTCGCGAGGTCATCCTACTATACCCACCCTTATTACACAGTCCCAAGTACTTGTGGTAGAGTAAAATGGCTTTGCGCAGCAGCAGCGGCTGTAGAACAGCATCGTACTCCAACTCGCCGAGCCAGGGACGGTAGCACACACCTCATGTTTGGGCGGATAGCATTTAACATCATCAACTATGGCATTCCCAGATGAGTTTGATATTTTTCCCGAATTTTTAATAATTTTTCGTTGAGAAAATACCAAAATTTTGGATGATTCATCAAAGAAAGTGAGGAAAAAAATTATTTTTCTCAAAAAAGTAGGGAAATTACCAAAAGAAATCGGGAAAAAACACAAAATCGACCCGAATGCCCCATGTTCATTGGAGTTTCACCCGCGATATGACAAACACTAGCGAAAAACATATTTCACGACTACTGCATAGTGTGAAAATCACGTTTTTCACCAGTTCACGTAAAACGGGTGAAACTCCATCGAATCAATTCTGGAATTCAGAATCGATTTTAGCATCATATTATATGTGTAATAAGCGATTCCAGAATCAATTCTGAGTTCCGAGATCGGTTTCTTGACCTCATAGAAAACCAGAAAAATTGAGGAAATAATAATGCAACTCGAAAAGTTTTTAAAAAGTCAAACTACTTTACGTAACAAATGTAATAACTCATGGAAAAAGTCGGCAAACATATTCCGTAAAAAATGGGAAAATTCTTGAAATTTCGGGAAAAAATACTAAACTGACCCGAAATGCTACAGAAACACTAAGAGCTCATAGCGACAGTATTTTTCAAATATCACAGACCAGTTTGTGAGTGACAGGGAACATTATATTTCGATTTAATAGCCATACCATAAGGCTTTGCAAATGGGAAACTCCCCATTCGGACTGGCCGGGTCTACTCGTAGTAAGATATGTAGCTAACTGAATCAGTGTTGGAAAAATATATGTTTGCTTTTCTCAGCTACTGAGCTCAGAACATTTTCCTCACTAATTAGAAAAGTCAACACATGAATTCGAATCAGAGTGGAGTTTCACAACCCGTTTTACGTAAAGTGGCGTAAAACTCTGTGAAAACCACCATATTCGCGGTGATATGCAGTAGTCGTGAAATATATTTTTCACTAGTGTTTTCATATCACTAGAATGGTGAAACTCCAATGTACAAAAACCAATAATAATTTTCCAAAATTTTCATATTCTCACCAACACCCCAAATTTTCCCTACTACTAAAACACAATCTACCACAGTACAGAGAAACAAAAAAGACACACAAAAAGAATAAATCCAAATCACATTATGAGTAATAAAATAATAGTAAAGGAACTCAATTAGGACCCACGGCGTTCAAGTTCATGTCGGTACCGTGAGTTCATCAAATTGCCATCGAGGAATGTTGACGCAGTCGACGGAACGATGCTGGAAAAAATGTCGAAAAAATACCAAGTTGAATTGCAGAGACCTATCACAGTTTCACCCGCGATATGAAAATCACTAGTGGAAAACATATTTCTCCCGTTTTACGTGAAAAGGTGTAATACTCCATGTGAAAAACGCGATATTCGCGGTGATATGCAGTAGTCGTGAAATATTTTTTTCACTAGTGTTTTTCATATCACTAGGGTGAAACTAATGGAATTTCACAACACGTTTTACGTGAACTGGCACGAAACTCAGTGAAAAACGCGATACGAATTACACCTGACGAATCACTCTATATCACGTAACACACATATCGCGTGTTTTACGCGTTACTCACTGCTTACATGCGTTTTTCCTACGAAGTGAAATGTGAAACTTCATTGGAGTTTCACCCTAGTGATATGAAAAACACATTTCACGACTACTGCATAGTGTGAATTTCGCGTTTTCACCGAGTTTTACGCCACTTCACGTGAAACGGGTGAAACTCCAATAATATATTCTGCATATGTGTTCACCCAAATGCCCAGGGGAGATTACTATACCACTTAAAGATTTCACTACCCGATATGCTGATCATAATGGAGTTTCACCTCTTTACGTCGCTTCACGTTGATGCTGTACATGTAATACTCAATATTTGTCCATATCACTATGGTGAAATTCAATGGAGTTTCACAACCCGTTTTACGTGAAGTGGTGAAAAACGCGATATTCGCGGTGATATGCAGTAGTCGTGAAATATTTTTTCACTAGTGTTTTTCATATTACTAGGGTAAAACTAATGGAATTTCAAACACGTTTTACGTGAACTGGCATAAAACTCTGTAAAAAACACGATATTCGCGGTGATATGCAGTAGTCGTAAAATATGTTTTTCATATCACTAGGGTGGTGAAACTCCAATGTAAACGCCTACCTGCCAGCCCTGCCTCCGTCGAG